GCTAGAGCGGTGAAAACATGTCAGATGTGTTCAGCTCGACGATACGGATCGACTGATATGCAACATGACTCTTTCTGGTCAGGTCATGACCTTGACCTGAGGTCAAATTTTCAAAATGACCTTTCCAGGTCAACTTATAGTTCATTCCACGCTTCTCGACGAGAGGAACACGATGCTGGTAAAATTGATGTCGTGACTTATTTGAGTCAAAAGTAATTACCGAAAAACTTTTTTTCGTAAATACGGCTATTTTTGGAGTTTTGACCTCTGGAGGCTAATCCGTTGACCTGATGTCAAATCTGAGACCATTCCTCAGATAGGCCTGTAAAAGAGGTATCGAATGCGATCTTCCCCGGCGGTGTAGCTCTATTGGTTCCCGATTTATGCGCTGGGTATTTCGAAAATTGTTGAAATATATGAAATTTGACATTTGATGACCTCTAGTTACCTGACCTAAAAAGTGACCGAAGTATTTTCATAATTGTTTTACGCTTTTTCGAATGCCGTTTACCGCGTGTCGCTACGAGCCGAATTAGACGGGGGAGGGGTGAAAACGCACCCCCCCCCCCTCCCCAGCACGACACGGGAAATTCAGACAACCAGCACGGCGCGGTAAAAAAAGAATATAAAAAAACATTTCCAAAATACATATTATAAATCTGCTGCAGTGCGTGCTTACCTCGACTGCGAGATGTATTTTCACAGATTGTCCTCATAAAGTCACGTAGGCTGGTCGTCCAAACCTGGTGACAGGTTTCCCAGCGATGAGCTCAACCTCTCTCTTTCTCTCTCTCAGTCCATCCATGGCATAAAGATGGATTCTGTTTGTGTTCCTTAGGAAAATATTGCTTTTACACTGTGTCAGAAATATCAAAGAGTGCAATGGGAACAAAAACTTCGCTTGCGAAAGTTACAGGCCTAAAAAGCACACTTAAATGCCCGAAAATGCAGGCCCCGAAACGCGGTCAACTCCACCTCACAGTTACAAACTGTCATGGCGGCGATAAAATGGCAGTTATGACCTTTCCGGGAATCATAGTGACATAATTGGAGAATCATGAGAGAGTCAAATGGGAATCGCGAGACAGTATTGATTCGTCAATGATTCTCGTAGCTGAGAATCATTGGAGAGTATTGCATTTCTAATCGGGTGATATTTACGTTCTATCGAGAGGATCAGCGCCACTGGTATAATATGAGAGTATTACGGACATATTTGGGGACTCGGATTCCCTCTGTGATGCCCGCATAATCGAAGGGAATGAAAAAATGGGTATAATCTAAGGATCAAAAGGGAATCATGCGGGTATAAATGCCCATGACCAGGGCATCAGGAGAATCATTTTGGTTTTCAGTGTAACGCTTTTGAGAGGCTTATATCTCAGCAACCGCTGGACCGATTGGCCTGCGGTCTTTTTTGCTGGGTAGCCCCATCCCTTCTACCCCGTAATTGACTATTTTTGATGCATCTCAGTGACCGTCGTGGCACGTGCCACGTGAAAAGTCAAGGGTGTTCAGGCAGTTTTGCAAAAGTAATGATTTTGAGAGGCCCATATCTCAGCAGCGGCTTGAGCGATTGTCTTGCGGTAATTTTTATAGGGTAGCTGCATCCCTGCTACCAAAGGTCGGATACTCTTGATCTATGTGAGTGACCCCCACTGCACGTGCAAAATACAAAAAGAAGAGGTGCCAAATTTGTTCCCACTTCAGTAACTCGGTAATTACTGGGGCGATTTCGCTGAAACTTGGCATACGGGTAGGCACCCACGAGGCAATGCATTCCCATATGTTGCGGTTAGGGTGCTACTGCACGTGCGCACGTGCAGGGGGCGTTTCCAGATCTCGAGAACGGCTGGGCCGATTGCGCTCAAATTTGGTGCACGGTTGGGGACCGGTTAGAAGGGTGCCGTGCAAAAGTCATTTTGGACCCCGTTTGCACGTGCGCACGTGCAGAATGCCGCTTCCAGATCTCAGGAACGGCTGGGCCGATTGCGTTCAAATTTGGCACACCGCTAGCGACCGGTTAGAAAAGTGCTTTGCGCAAGTCCGTTGGAAGTACCCTCTCGCCCTTCCGCACGTGCAGAGCTCACTATCTCGCTCGCTCGTTCTTCGCCCAAAAGGCGTTTTACTGGTAAAGTAAACATCCATCCTCGATTAACCTTGTCACCATCAAATACACTAGTCGTACACGAGGCAGCTATTTTGTTTCTCATATCGGGACTTGAGAAGACGCCGGTGGCCGCTTTGCCCCAGGGTATGGGGCAAAGTGGCCAATATGCATAGGTTTAAAGTTTTGCCAATATCTTTCATATGTGAACGCCTTTGGAAATAAAACGCAGTTGAAATAAAAGGCAACTTATTAGGGATCACATTGGTATAGAAAGAATCTTTCCAAGTTTAAAAATCAAGCGTTGGCATCGTCAGAAGCGTTAGGGTGGCCGCTTTGCCCCACTCTCCCCTACACAATCCAGTTCCACAGCCCGAGCACAGCGGATCACAGCGAATCTCGAGTATAAGGATCGGCCCAATTCCAAACCAATGCACATCATCGGGTAGCGAATAAGCCGAAAAGTTCAGGAAAAGTTACTACCGTAGTATGTGATTTGGTTGGAATTCGGCCGACCCTTCGAGATCTGCTGTGCAGACGTATTTTCGACATAACCACAGGGGAGCACTGCCGCTTCAACCCTATTGGCTGAAGTGTCTAACGGTGGCGGCCATATTGCGCAGACCAGGAACCGGCTGCCGCCTGTGTTGAGGAATAGGGAATTCGGGACCTCGATTTACGTTTGCGGCCGCCGCATCCGTTACGCTTAACCCGGCGGCCGCTGGGCCTCCGCGCCACCCGCCGGCCGCTGGGGGGGGGGGCATATAGTTACCCCCCCTTTACTTCCGCGACGATATCATCGCAACGCGAACGGATAGAGAAGCGAAACTTTGCACACATCTTCCTGAATACCTAGCGGAGGTTGTGTCCGAATTTGGTGTCGATCCCATTTGAAATGACGTCACAGTGACGTCATAAGTCAAATTATAGATTTGCGACTCTCAGTTTCCTCACGATACATCAGATATATGGGACCGAATATAAAGGGCCGATTATTGGCTAGGAACTAGATGGAAGTGTACTTAGATGTTTTAGGATGACAGCAGATGCTGTCTAGTTCATTTACAGTTGAGTTTCATGCTCAGCGTCATCAGAAACGGTCAATATCGGAAAACGACAAAACTTTATGACGTCACTGTGACGTCATCTTAGGTGCTACAACCATCAAAATTTCTTCAAACATTGCCTAGGCATTCATTTGAAGCTCTGCCAAGTTTCACGTTCGTAGCTCATCGCGTTTCGGAGATATTCCACAAAACGTAAAGGGGGGGGGGCAACTTTATGCCCCCCCCCCCAGCGGCTCGTGGGTTAAGGTGCGTAGATACGGAACCCGACATCTTACGCAGAATTGAGTGGGGAACACGATCGAATCATCAGAATTGCTCAAATTCACTCGCCGGACCATCGTCTTTCTACATTTGAACCCACCTCGCTAATGCGCCGCCAATAATTCAACTAGAATTTAGCGGTAAAGTGATCGTATGAGGCAGAGTACAATCCAGAGTGACTGGTAGGAATCCGCTTTAAAGGTCTCAGGTCAATCGGTGACCTCTGAGGTCAGGTCAAGTGACCTAAGGCACGGGCTCGGTTTTTGGTAAATAACTTCGCCAAAAATGGTCGTGGAGCCGCGATTTTGGCATCATCGTGTTCACCTAGCTCAGGCGCATCGAGTGATATACTTTTGTTCGGATGAGGTCAATTTACGGCATTGACCTCGTGACAAGGTCAGGTCAGAGCTCTCAGGTCACGAAGCTGGTCGAGTAAGGTCATGTTGCATATCATTCGATTCGGGAGGTCTTTCTGAGTCCATTTGTGACTTTCCCGTTCGCTCGTTCAATTTGATCGGGAGTTATTGAAGAAAAGTTAATGATCCTTGTGACGTCACAGATGACGTCACGCAAGGGCAACAATGCAATTGTGAAGCATTGGACCTTGCAAGGAGTGCATGAAATCACGATTGATAGTTTCAGATCATTCCCGGCGCCAAAATAGCAATTTACATATTCCCCCATTGACTTATAAGGGTTTAACGTAAAAGTTCCCTGTATTTGAGGATTTTTTAAGATGTAATCTTGTTCTCCACTCAATTCTGCGTAGGATGCGGGGTTCCGTGTCTACATAGCTTGAACGTAACGGATGCAGCGGCCGCAAACGTAAATCGAGATCCCGAATTCCCTATTCTTCAACACAGGTGGCGGCACAGGTCGTTTGGTGTCGTGTTTAGCGCTCTAGCTCTACTGGGTGGGCCGCAAACTGCTGTGCACAGTTGGGTCACTCGACCTTTTGCTGTCCTCTGCAGGTCAAACGGCTGGCCGCTGGGAGTTTCACCGAACGGCTTGGTCTGTGGATTGTGTATGCCACGTTTTCTATGGTATGCAAGTTTCAAGTCTATTTGAGGTGTCCCGAATCTAGGCTGAATCCGGGCTGAATCTGGGCTGTCTGACGGACATCGTGACCTGGAGATGATCTCTGCAGTGACGACTACTTCTAGGTTGTTCGACTTCCGGTACATCAAGTCAGCATGATCTACTTCCTTCCACCAATGGTGTTTTTTTCTAAAGAATATCGTTAGACAACAGTGCTGAAACCTCTTTCTAGTGCATTGACATGAAATGAATACCAATTTCATTCATGTCACTCACTTTTCTACCTGCGAGTATACCTAGTTGCTTTTCTTCCCATGAAGTCTTCCTGCCAATATACGATAATTGCGTCTGTTGAGGAGTGATGTTTGAAGTGATGTTGAAGCGTTCGATTATCGCTGGCGCCTCTTCACCCTTGGGTGGATGACTGGCGGTTTTGGCATGGGTACTCGTCTGGTATCGGATGCTCAAGGTCAGCTCTGCCCGCGGCGCCCGGCGTCCAAGGTCGGGTTGGTGGGCGACATGTTTTTCGCCAGAGACCACGGTGAGCAGGCGGTGTCGGTGCGCATAGCAGCCGGTGTGGAGTTCCGCTGTGGTGCCGCGGTTTGTCGGAAAAGCTGGACTGTGCTAACGGACCGCCGGGCTCACAGGATACAGGTGAGTTTAGCAGCGCGGACTTTCGAGTTCAGACGAGCACTTGTGCTTGTAGCTGACTACTTCAGTTGGCGACGGAGTGGCATTGCCGCACGTTGCACGCACATACAGACACGGTCGCCGTGCATTGAAGGTACATGTATCTTAGTGTTGAATTTTTGTTCTGAAGATCCCACGACAAAAGTTCAGGCTGGAAGTTTGATGTGTTGGAATACAAATTTAATTATACCCACGGTGACTATTAGGTATACCTACAATTTTCAAGTGTATGTGTGGATCTCACAACATGCAGACAATGCACAATTGTACCTATAGCTAGACGATTTGAGGTAATCGTCATTGCTTTTTTTCTAAAATAGAAACATTTCAGTGTGCAAAAATCACTTTTGAGTCCCGACTAAACTCATATTCAGATGTGTGACCCCAACTACCTAACTTAGTGCTGAATGTGATGGGATCCTGTATCAGGTTCATTCGCATGTTTCACGCGAATTGCGCTGGATCTAGAGACTGGATTTATAGTACCGGCAAGAAAGACATTTCGACATATGCTTTGTCCAATAATGTTGCTCCCGTGATGCCGCTCTTCTTGCAGCTATAAACGCAAAAGCATGGTGTTTGCGACTTTTCCAAAAGCATTTTTACGTGACAATTTTTGGCGGGAGTATTGGGGTATAGGTACACCAAAAATCAAAACCCTACGTTTGGCTCATTGACCTGACCTCTGAGGTTAGTGGTTAACCTGTGCCATAAGATTTGATGGCAGTCATGTGTTTCGTGACATGTGACACATTTACTTGATTTGTAAACGTCTTACACAATTAGGAGTGAAACGGTTAACCTTAAGGGGTCTTCCACTCTTTCCCTCTCGGCCGGAGATTTATGTAGAAAAGCGAAAGTAAACCATGACTTTTGATGCACAGCGGACAAAGCTTTGTCAATAATCAATTACCTCGTGTAGTTCCTGGAACAGTCACGTTTGGTGGTATTTCCTGCTACTCTACACTCTTCTGTGGACTAAGCGAAGCAGCTGCTTGACAATTTATCGGTTAGCAGATTTATCCGTTCTAAATGAACTTTCACTGCTTACGTAGCGTCACACTACGGTTGGAAACGGCCTCACGGATGGCCGGGGGTCAACGCGAAAAAATGGTTTGCCCATAACTTGTTAATGCGTAGACCGACTGCGATGAAACTTTGCATAGGTATACCAGTGTCTTTCGTGCATCATACAGTAACTCAGAAATGACGAGGTCACGTCACGTCACGCGTGTGTGACGTCATCATTGCAAGTATGTTATAAGTCGCCTATGTCTTTCGTAATGTTATCGATATCGCGAGGCATTTTGAACATGTTTTGAATACTGCTATTACTGAATGGATATTGCTTTTATGCTTTAGGGCGAGAAATATCAACGTAGTGACGCACAGTGTCTTACTATTGGTCATAAAGGGTCAAAAATTTGGAGAAAAAGTATTAATGATTTTTTTAGGTTGGGCAAAAAAGTAAGAAATAAAATGACGATCAAATGACAAAAAAAAAATGCGTCAGATTAACCCGGCAGTTGCTGGGGTATTTCCCCACCCGCCGTTTGCCGGGGGGGGGGGGGGGCGTTCAACGCCCCCAGCCGATAACTCGCGAACAAATAGGCGCAGCGAAACGCACGAGGCGGCAAACGAAAGAAGAACGGGACGAGACGATCCACGTGAACTGAATACTTTAAAGTTGAATTTCGAGGTCACAGGTCGGGTCAAGGTCAGTTCAAACACTTGAAATCGGGCTTTCAGTAGCATGGACTTTAGAACCTCGCAATCGGTGCCTCTCGTCATAAATTATTCTGTCACAACTTATGGCAAAAGTAAATTATTCAAAATAATTTACATTAGGACCAAAACGCGTTTCGACTATATCGTCATCAGTTGGTCCTAAATAAATTCAGTCATCAGTTGGTCCTAAACAATCTGTCACAACTGTCAAAAACCTTCATATAAGTGCTAAAAGAGTGTCAAGTCAAACAAAGGCCACTGGCCAGGGTCAAAGTCAGGTCAATCAGGTAAGCACATAACCCCGAAAATTAAAACTGGTACCTATTCGCAGCCCATGACTCATGTTTTATGGATTGGGTACCTTTGGGCGTAGAACACGATGGTGACATTCATTTTATCATACGAGTACGTGGTTGGTTGAAAAAAGATCAATTTCAGAAATGTATGCATCATGGTCGTGAAGTAGTCACGAGAAATTGCCAACATTCAGTTCAAGATTTTGGAAAATGTAGAACGATGATCAAAAACCATAGATAGCCATTTGATTTGCCATGGTATTGGCAGTGTAATGGCGTTTACAGCATGTCTCTATGTCTGTTCTGTCAGTGGATATCCATATCCATACTCTAAGATATCCATACACGTTTGCACGATATCCATACTCCAGGTGCAACCGTGCAGGGCGAGCAGTTACTTCTTACGAGGGGTGCGGAGTCGAAGTTAGAGTCGCAGTCAGAGTCAGAGTCGGAGTCAGAGTCGCCCAGAGTCGTGGCAACGAGCCAGGAGTCGGAGTCGGAGTCGGGGTCGGTCAGGAGTCCGCAGTGGAAGTCGGAGTCGGTCCGAATCGGAACAGCTCCATCACGACTCCGAAACACTGGCAGGGGTCCGGAGTCGGAGACAGAGTCGCCCGGAGTCATGGCAACGAGTCAGGAGTCGGAGTCGTAGTCGGAGTCGGATTTGGCGCCACCACGACTCCGCAACCCTGCTTCTTACCATTATTTATTAGGATAAGCGATTGCACGACTGACGAGCCGACCTGGTGCTAACGAAGCGACGGGTAGGTACGCCTCGGGAGATGAAGCTTCACGGACGATTTTGCGCACAAGTGCGCAGTTTGCTTTTACGTTCCCCTTACGCAGAATTGAACAGAGATTTACTCTGCCAAAAAGCTCAATGGAGGTCGATGGAAAACTTTTTGTATGTCCAATGAAACATAAACGTAATTTTGCAAATGTTGCTGTGGTGACACTGCAAACAGAATGCAATGCCGTTCCTGATTTTGAACACACATGGGAAAAAGTCACTCCACTCGATAGCCAACATAACAAGGATTGTTTTGATATATAACAATCCAGTTTTACAACGTCATGGAGGTACTCCACATGCTATCACCAGCGCGGTTGTTGAAACCTTTGACGGCGCACCAAAAAAGCCACTATCAGAAACTCCCGTTTCAAAGTACGATAATGGAGACTAAATGCGCAACTAAATATTTTTTTCTGCCCAATTCAAAACATTTCATCAATTTCCAACAGAATGACACCCCAAATATACTATATTCCGAAATTGCCCATGGCCATCCGTGAGGCCGTTTCCAACCATAGTGCGTCAGCCTCCTCAGACGGGCTGTGAGATAGGCTTTAAAGGCTCACATGAGAGTCGCCACATAATCCGTGTTCAGCTAGCTGCATGGATGTAGGTACTCCAATGCTTAGACCGATAACATTTTTATTAGCAGACGATTCCGCAATCCGCTGACCAAACGGCCAAGTTCATCGTCGTTTGAACTTGTTGAGACAAGAGTAAAAGTTATTGTGGTACCATGCATTTCCAGGAAAACTGCCAGCTAAAAGGTTATTCAATAATGCCAGAGGTTACTCGCACTAAATTTGAAAAAGATCAACATATTTTTAAGTGTATGAGATTTTACTTAATTTCCGTTCATCATCACCTGCTCTGCCTCAGATATCTTGCCTTACATATCACGTAAGCTTCTTGATTAATAGCTCATTAATCAATTACTTTCCATTACATATTTTTTAAAGTACCCACTGATAATAATGTATATATTTTCCTACACTCTGCCCATTTATGCACCCGAAACCATGCGTTAACTAGCGATAAAAAATGACGTACTGATATGCCTTCCTTATTGCATCAGGCTGAATCAAATATAATTGTGTTTACTCGTAGGCACTCATGTGAACACTGATTGAAACCTATACTCGTATGGATGTTGAATATCTTTAATGAGGTGTTCTGTGCTTTAAGTCTTGTGTGAGCTTCAGGAATATCATATTTGTTCATAAATCGCTTCCGTGCTCACTCAACTGAATTATGATTCGATTCAATGTTTCTATTTCAGGCATAAGATGTCAACGCTTCCATATCCTCACGAATTTCACGATGTCGATGATGAGACCAACGCTCGCGTCAAGCGGCTTGTGCCAGGGCTGGCTGAAGGAGCCATGACCATCGGCAAGGACCGTTACTTCTATCCAAAGAAGGACCACGAGGCCTTCCACAAGATGTACAATTACCCTCTAGACGAGCGAGATATATGGGTGGTGACGATGCCTAAATGTGGCACCACGTGGACGCAGGAGATGGTCTGGCTGATCGCCAACGACTGCGACTTCAAGGGCGCTCAGAGCAACCTGGTTCCGGACCGGTGGAATTTCCTCGAGATGTCCTACCTGGTCTTGGCGTCAGACGTGCGCGCCAAAAGCGTCGCCTGGGAGGGCATCAAGGCCAACCCGTGGAAGATGCCTCAGATTCTGTGGTTGGGTCTGAAAATGGCTTGGCCTCGAAAGTACTACCCTCCGCGGTTCATCAAGAGTCATATGCCGTTCTCTATGCTGCCTCCAAAGCTCCTGGATACGTGCAAGGTCGTCTACGTGGCCAGGAACCCCAAGGACGCTCTTGTATCGTACTACCACCATCACAAGCTGATCAAGATGATGGACTTCGAGGGAACATTCGAGGAGTTCTTCGACCTCTTCCTCGAGAACAAGGTGGTCCAGGCTCCCTTCATGCCGCACGTCAAAGAGGCTTGGGAGAAAAAGGACCACCCAAACCTGCTCTTCCTCTTCTTTGAGGACTTGAAGAGTGACCTAAAAGGGAACATCAGGCGAGTGGGTGACTTCCTTGGGAAGACACTTTCGGAAGAGCAGGTCGAACAGCTGTACGAGCACCTCAAGTTTGACAACTTCAAAAAGAATCCTTACGTAAATAATGATCCGCTCAAGGAGCTAGGCATTCTCTCCACAACTGGGAACTTCGTCAGGAAAGGTTAGTACAATCTTGTAATGGTAATGCTTGCCCGCTGTCTGTCCTAGACAAAAACGTTTTATTGATAGTGTTGTAACTTATACTGCATTCGGCTTGGTAACTTGCACAATGCACATAATACAATTGATGCTGGTCAAATGGCACGTTCAGGTGCCTGTTTGCCTTACAATACGTGTAGTGGCCCTTGGGTTCATTAACCGAACCGGTTAGTGTTGAGATTAACACTTCAGCTAGCATACGTTCAGGGAAACGTGGATTTATTTATCCGATGACTTTGAAGCCCCGGCGCTCTAAAATTGCATATCACCATCAATCACAAATCAGGCTGGCGTTTCTTATGGGTAATG